TACACTCAAACCATCGGGTGGCAAAGGTCCTCCTCTCCAGCTGCTCAAGATATATATACATTAACCGATGCAGTCTGCTTTTGATCAATGCCAGGTTCGCAACATAGATCGGCCACGAAACAGCCACCGAGAAGCAGTGGCCACGCATCTCCCATTAGAAGCGGCGTCGCATCTGACAGCGTGCCATCAGGGCTCTCTTACTCTACTCTACCTACAGGCGAAAGAGGGAGCACGACTGTTACCGAAAGGTCAACAACCGGAGCGGATGTCTTCCTCCTCAGAACGGCTCCTTGGCTGCGGTGGCAGGGTCCTTTGGTTGCTGTGCCGCTCGATATAGTGGTCAAGCGCTAACATACCACATTCATCTGGAAGGGGTGTTCCTGTTCGGAGAAGCCTTTGCATGTCGCTCTTGCCAGCGGAGCAGCATTCCATTACAGCCGTTGCGACGGTGACTCTATACATCTCAGTGTACGGAAATAGACGATGGACTCATCGGCGAGTATTGTCCATTGTACCATCTCTACCCTACACTCAAGCATTATATACAAAATCGTTCGGGCCAGTCGGGAGGTTGAGACCGACCGTGGCGTTCGTGAGCGCCGGGTCAGCAAGGTTGACCGCTTTCCACAGCTCGCTACCAAACACTGACTTCCGGTCATCGCCCGTGAACACTTCAGCTGCACAGAGGTCATGCCATAAACTCCCAATCAGGGATTTAAGCGCGGCGATCGTCTGCTTGCCCTCGTCTACTTGTCGGAGGGCGTTTGCCAAGGCATCGTATCGAGGATCGCAGGAGATCCTAATCCCCGGCGGGCCAAGGCTCACAGTAGTTGGGGGTGACGATTGAAGCACCTGGCTTGGAGACGTGCCCAAGGTGTTGCGCGATGTAGTGTGGGAGGCAGAAGCGGAATGCTGGTTGAGTTGGTCTGCCTGGACGTTATCCCGCTCCACAAGCTCTTGAAGAGTGTTGGTCGCGGGAGTGCCCCGCTGGCAAGATGCTGCTGCCAGGGCCCGGGGCGAGGAAGCAGCGTGAGGGACTTGCTCCTGCGCCTGCGCCCCATCCGCAGGATGATCACCAGTGAGATCTCCAGCGATATCGTGGTCAAAGCTCGGAAAGACACTTGCTATGCCGTGGGAAAACGCTGTGGGTGAACGTTGCGCCGACGACAGCCGCGTGTCCACCGTTGACGATCGCCTTGGCCCTGACTGCTGCTGTTGTAGCCGTGACTGCCGTTGATCGGCCGCTTTGACGCTGATCCATTCTGGCACTGGACTCATTGGAAACTTCATGCGATGAAGCTTGATCCACTGCTCCCATGGCTCTGAACCGCACCTGCATTGGATTTGGCGTGACTGCGGCGGCAGGTCGTAGTTGACGCAACCCAGGTTCAGACACAGCTCCTGAAGAGATCCGCATCCACGGCGATGATCAATGAGATCCGACCAGGAGGAGAATGAGTCGTTGTAGCAGGTAGTGCACGGGTACCACTGATGAGCGACATTGTCGAAATGACGACTAGGCACTGTTAGCATGAGTCGGGACTCGCACAACCCGTCGTCAACTTACCGGAGGGCGTACATATCGCGCCATCTTGTGGTACATGCCCTGTTGTTCTGAGGATCTCCAATGTGGTACACACACGGAATATCGCCTTGCCGGTCGGTTGAACCTGGCTTCGCCATAGACTGCCCGCGGCGTTTGGCAGGTGGCCGTGAGCCTCGTTCGGAGCCTTCCTCGTCCCTGTTGCGCCGTCGCCCTGCTTGCATTCTAGTACTTCGGGCGCCCCTCGAGTCATGTACATTAGTCGCTCCGCTACCGGGACTAACGGAGGTACAGGCTCTTTGGCGCTTGCCGGACGCGCACCATTGCTCAGGGATGCCAGCAGGTGGAGTCAACGGCCTGATGAACGGGGACAATGCTGTTGTATCGGGGTGGGCTGGCTCCAGTTCCCTTAGCGGAGCGCCCAGCTCTGCGGACTGGGCGATCGAGCGAGCGGTGACTACCTGAGCAACCTCGAGGGACATCGTGCAAGCCGAGCGCTTCGACAGTGCCCCCCAATCATCGGAAGGATGCTTCATGCGGGCGTGCGCGATGAACTTGTCACGCCTTCCATAACATGCGGCCGTGTCGGCAGGACAGGCAGCGCACCGGTAGACCGTGTTGTCGCCATCCAAAGATCGTAAGAAGTGTACCGACTTCCGATGCCGCTCGAGATCGCTAGGTCTTGTAAACGTGGAGCCGCAGTCTGACCTTTCGCAGGCGAATAGCTTTCTGTGTCGAAAGGGGTGTTTCGTGGCATCGGAAGCGTTGGTCGGCTGTCGCCGACGAGTGTCGCACGGTAGAAGGCCATGGGTGGGCGGCGTGGGGGCCCGGACACCCATCCTCGCCGGGCACTCCAGGGATAATAATGTCGACGACGTGCCAATCGTGGATGGCTCGACATACGAGCAGTATGCTGAATCCAGCTCAGACTCCTGAGAAAGCAGCTTTGTCTCTGCCAGTGGGAAGGGCGCAACCCCCGGGATACCAATGAGTGTGCGCAGCGGCTCATCTCGCAAGTGAACAGAAAGTCCGTCGAGCGTGCGTGCCCGAAAGCCCTGGCCAGCTGAGTAGCCGTCCCAGGACCTATCATCCACGCCCAGAAAGATACCCCCGTCTTCATAGTATCCATGTTGATGAGGATCGAAGCGGCTTAGGCTTATTTTGGTCAAGGAGGCCAGGTTCTGTGGAGATAGCCAGCCTCCCATGAACTCCAACGGTGGTGACACTTCGAATGAAGCCATCTTCTTTTGCTCTTCCTGGAGGTCTTTCAGCGTGGATGGGACGCTTCTAGCCCTTGCTTTCGTGCTGTGTTCTTGCTGGACCTCGCTACCAGCGCGGTGGGCTATGGAGGGCGTAACCTGGGTATCGTCGCTTCACGGTTCCCATGGAGGATGGAGAGGTGAAAGAGGATCACGGAGAACATGGTGGAGTGGACGCGCGATGATTGCAGCCTTATAACAGCTGTGGTGGTTGTGGCAGCAGACAATGTCTGCTCAACATTTGATGTTGCCGCGGCATCAAGTCCGTATGTTTCTCACCACAGCCGGCGTTCAACCATCGTCCTTGCTCAACACACAGTGTTGGACAGCCACTGTAATCGTCTGAGTCGACGACAGACTTGTCGACATGCTGCGTCGTCACGCCGTCGTGGGTTGTTGCTGATGTTGCAGTCAACCGCTTTTAGCTTCGCCAGTCCCGATCTGGTTTGGATCTCGACTCGGTGGTTGAGAAAGTTGAGATCCTCGACTTGCCGCGACAATGTGGGTGCTTCAGGAGAGTCAAGCTATTGACTGACGCCAGCAGTCGGCGGGCCAATGTTTGTCGTCGACACGAATAGCAAGCTATGTCGATGCAGATGCCTGGGTCGCTTCGTTGCAGAGGTCCACCCACGCTGCACCGACAGAGGATTCCAAGATGCATCGACACAATCCGTCCCATACACCCTCATCGTTGTTCAACGGCTTGCGAACGAAGGACGGAAGTATATATGCTGGGTTGGTTCTGTCAACTCTCTTGCCATTTTGACCTTCTCCCATCATCCACATCAGACTCTATGGCTGCTCAAAGTGGTACATCTGACCTTGCACTCGACGTCACTCTTCATGTTGCGGGTCCCGCCAAACCCCCAAATGCACTGCATAACGAACGCGTCGGAGCTGCTGCTGATAGCGCGGACCGAAAGAAAGCTTGGTGGGGTTTCAAGGAAGCGAGCGAGCGAATCATCCTGGACCAGATCGACACAACGAACACACTGAATGCAGCAATGGAGATGGGGCTACTGAAGCACGTGTATGACAAAGAGCGCGGCGGAGTACGGGCGAGTCTAGCCAACTTCCTGCTATGCAAGACAGTTCGCGTGGGCCTGGCGACAGTGGACCAGGTATGTCAACCTTCATTAGCCTTCCGGCCATGCGGTGTAGTGTAATGCTGACGGGAACGGCACCCACAGATCGAGGGCATTGTGTTGGAGGCTCAAGGTCCTCAGGAGACTTCCAAGCTGGACTCTACCTTTAGTCCACTGCTCACGACGGGGTGGCAAACCCCTGCTTCCATGAGGACCATCGGCACGGTATTCTCCGGAGCCCAGGACGGCAGACAAATACTGGTTCCAGTCATCAGCCTCGAGACGAGCAAGTATAGGGCGGGACTGGCGCTTGCCCTGTCGCTCGTCGGCGTTCTGATAGTCCAAGTGGTGGTCACCGTCAAGACATACCGCATAGAGCCTGCGTCGTCCATCGCCAACAACTTGTTGTCGATCATCACCATCGTTGCGGCGTTCCTGTGGTGGCATGCGAGCTGATAGTGCTGCCGGCCGCGCCCAGAAGTTAGCTTAAGGTGATAGCTAGGTCGTACATACAAGTGCTCGAGAGGTGCTTATGCATATCGAGAGACTTTAATCAGGGATTTCGACCCATTCATGGATTCTTCGCGAGGCTCGTCGGCCACTCGGTGAGCTCCATAGATTGTAATCGTGCCGCTTCTGTGCATTGAGGTGTCCTGTGGTACTGGATTAGATCGCCAGTACACCAGAGCTCGTCAGGGTGGTTTCACGGAGGCCACATCGGCCGGGAGTAACAGAGTGTGCATCGTGGTATGTCGTGAAAGCACCTGCTCGTCGCCCACTGTGATGAAAGTGAACGCTGTAGGGGAGCATGGTCAATCGACACAGCGTAAAGTGTTTCTTCTCCCATTGCCATGAGGCCTTGTCCCCAATCTGGCCTTTAGTATGATTGACATGATCAGCACGTCGAAGTCCTGCTGCCAAAGCTTGGGTGTCCAACCAAAGACAAACGGTAGCTTGACAAACGAATCACAGTGTCCCAGCCCCTAAATTTGACGGTTGGCTAGAGGTAAGCAGGCGGGGTTTTTTCGGCAGTACATTACAGGGTACATATGTGTTGGCATTTCTTAGTGGTATCATCAAGCGAGCACATCAGCCCGTCTGATCAGTTAATCTGCGTTGGTGGTTTAGTGGTAAAATTAGCCGTTGCCACAGTTCTTCCGAGAACAACAACATCGGCTAGCCCCGGGTTCGATTCCCGGCCGACGCAATCCTTTTGCCTCTATGGGCGTCGACGGCGACGATGTGATCGATCAGGGTGGTTGTGGCATCGTTCTGGGACTTAGGGTTGCATTTTTGGGCGAATTCGGGTCGATTTCGCGCGGGGATGTGCGAACTACGATGCCAAGACTTCGTAGATCGTTTCTTCAATATCAACAGCGGTAACGTGATTGGCTGGTGTCGTTTTGCTATTATTTGCGGGTTGGGGGTCGATGTGGTGGTGCGTTGGGTCGGTCAAGACATTCGACGATGTTGATGAGGTGTTGTTGGATGCCAAGACTTTCTCAGGCTCTCGCACTTCGTGGCCACACTCGTAGCTCCGTGGTACGACGCTCTCCAGTGCATTACGAACAGTGGTGATGAGATGGGAGGTGATTGAGTCGTCCAGACGTGTCGTCCACGTTCAGGTGTTGTTGGATGTCAAGACTTAACATTAGTTTTCAGGCTCTCGCACTTTTGTAGCCACACTCGTAGCTCCGTGGTACGACGCTCTCCAGTGCATCACGAACAGTGGCGACAAGATGGTGGTTGATTGGGTCGTCAAGACGTGTCGACGATGTTGAGGTGTCGTTGGATGCCAAGACCTCCCAGAGTCTCGTGCGTTCGTGGCTACACTCTACTCTCTACTCTCCATTGGGTACAACGAGCCGCATAGTGTTATAGATCGTGTCTCTCGTCGATGTCGGGGAAACTTTGGGCGGTAATGGAGCAGTGATTGTATTGGCATTCTGCCAACCCGTTACACAGCAGCAGGCGGCAGAGCTCATCAGTGTGGTAGAGCACCGCCGAGGGAATTATCTGTCGGTGGAGCTGAGCAACAACGAGTAGCTGATTATATTCCTCTACTGAACAGAGCAGATCATCTACAACCCTCTTGTTCGCAGAGCCTTGCATCGGGGGCGCCTATTGCTCTCTACTGCCAAAGCCAGAAAGCGACCTACGCTCCTCAAACCCCACCCTACCGAACCATCGCCCGCTCCATCCCCTTAACCCGCTTCCCCCTCACATCCCTCCCCTCCTCAATCGCCAACACAGCCTCCCTCTTCCGCTCCCCAACCACATTCAACGCATCCCGCACCACCCGGCCCTCTATGCTCACCTTCTCCCCCTCACTATACTCCTCCATCAACCTCCCCACCCTCCCCTCAATCGCCTGCACCAACTCCACATCCCTCTGCCCAACCAAACTAATCGCCGTACCGCGCCGGCCCGCACGCGCCGTCCGGCCGACACGGTGGATGTAATCGTCCGGGTTGCGCGGGAGGTCGTAGTTGATGACCAGCCCCACGTCCGGGATATCCAACCCGCGCGCCGCGACGTCCGTGGCGACGAGGATGCGGGCGGCGCGGGCGCGGAAGCGGGCGAGGTTGGAGGTGCGGTCGGCGTGCTTGAGGCCCGAGTGCAGGCTGGTGACGCGGTGGTCGAGGAGGCGGAGGAGGTGCTCGAGCAGGGTGGCGGTCGAGGTGCGGTTGCAGAAGATGATGGTGCTCTTCTCGATGTTGGCGGGCGTGAGGAGGAGGACGTGCAGGTACTTCTCCTTGTGCATGACGTTGACGAGCTGGTAGGTTTGGTGCAACGTAGGCGGGATGGCGAGGTCTTCTGTGTCGACTTCGCAGACGAAGACGGGTGGCCGGTTCTTATCCCTTGGCATGTCCTTCAGAGCCCGGACTTCCGGCGTCACGGTGGCTGTGAAGAGACACGTCTGTCGTTGTGACGAAGGCGGGAGAGCTGAAAGGCAGGTCTCGACATCCGGTAGCATGGACCCTTTCCCTGCAGCGAGTAGGCGATCCGCTTCATCCAGCACAACGAACTTCACTTTCCGCAGTCCACGGATCGTATCGTCGCCCGACGTCTCGATATGATCAGCGAGTCGTCCAGGCGTGGCGATAACAACATGCGGTCGTCTCGCCAGATCCTGCGCCTGAGTCCTCATGTCCGCCCCGCCCGTCACCAGCACAGCCTTGATGCTCTGCCGCGCGCCGATAGCGAGTATTTGCTCGTAGATCTGCAAAGCCAGCTCCCTCGTGGGCGTGAGGATGACGGCAAAGATGCCTGAGGGGTCTCGGGCCCACCGTTGCAAGATGGGCGCGGCGAACGCCACCGTTTTGCCTGAACCAGTCCGGCTGCCGCCTATGCAGTCTCGCCCAGCCATGATCTGAGGGATGCAGCCTTTTTGGATGCGCGTAGGGCGATTGATGGCCATGTGGTGGAGGGAGGCGGTGAGCCAGGGGTCTATGCCTAGGGTGGCGAAGGTGGAGGCGTCTGCGGTGTCGATGGAGGACTGGATTGAAGCGGGCAAGGCATCGTCCGGTTGAGATGGCGCTTCCGTGACTGCGGGGCCGTCTTTCTTGGCTTTGATGCGGGAGACGCTGGAGGTGTTGAGTGGAAATCGCGGTTCGTCGTCTTCTGAGATGGCGGGTGACGCTGCTTGGGGAGAGGAGGTTCCCGAGGCCTGCGACGACTTTTCTGCGGCCTCATCGTCGTCCAGGGACACTCGTCGTCGCTTCGTTGGTCTTTCCATAGTTGCTAGTTCGGAACCGCTCTGTTGGTATCGGATATCACACTGAAGGTTTATCTTGTCGACCGAAAAGTGGTCGAAATCTTGGCGTCGGAGCGGAGGAAATTGCTTTCCGGCCGCATTTTCTGTGCACCTGTCTTCACTATCCAACCATCCAATCTTTCGTGCGTGTCCCCACATACGGTATGTACTAAGATATTTACTACATACCGCCAACATGCCTCGCCCAGCCAAGCGAGCCAAGCTACTCGACGACGCATCCAGCGCATCCGAGTCCGAGGACAACGGCCGCAACGGTGTGCGCCTACCCGACGTCGACCCGAATGCAGCCAACGGCTTCACCATCAACGCCGAGTTCGCCAAGCGCTTCGAGCACAACAAGAAGCGGGAGGAGCGGTCGCGGCTGGAGGAGAAGCTGGCAGGGGCGAACGGCAAGCGGGGGCGGAATGACGAGGATGATGAATCGTCCAGCGACGAGAGTGAGGACGACCACGCCGAGCTAGCCGACGAGAGCTTGGATGCCGAGATCCAGGACGTACTGCAGGCGATTCGGTCGAAGGACCCGCGGGTGCGCGACCCGAACGCCAAGTTCTACCGCGACTTCGAGGCCGATGCTGCGGCGACGGTGGATGGAGGTGCGGCGAAGAAGGGGAAGGAGAAGCCGATGTACCTGCACGACTACCACCGCCAGAACATGCTGGCGGGGCACACGGGCGAAGAAGAGGAGGACGACGCGCCGGTGCAGACGTACCAGCAGGAGCAGGATGCGTTGAAGCGAGAGCTGGTCGGCAGCATGCACGCTACCACAGCCGGTGAAGCTGCAGAGGATGACGAGTCGGACGTGGAAGAAGACTTCCTGGTCGCCAAGTCCAAGCCCAAGCACGACACGCTGCCGACCGCGCCCAAGTCCAAGCCCATCACGAACCAAGACGTTGCAGCCGCCGACAAGGATCCCGAGAGCTACCTGTCCAACTTCATGGCGGCACGCGCCTGGCTGCCGAAAGACAACTCTTCGCGCTTTCAAGCCTTCGACTCCGACGACAGCGATGATGACAGGCGGGCCGATGAGTTCGAGGAGGCGTACAACATGCGCTTCGAGGACCCCAAGAAAGCGAACGAGAAGCTGCAGTCCTTTGCCAGAGACGTGGGCAAGTACGGTGTCCGGCGGGACGAGAAGAGCGGTAGGGCGAAAGCTAGAGAGCGGGAGAGGGAGCAGAAGGAGGCCGGGAAGCGGGAGCGGGAGGAGGACAAGGCGCGGCTGCGGAAGCTGAAGATCGAGGAGGCCGAGGAGAAGGTCAACCGTATCCGCGAGGCTGCGGGGCTGAGAGGCAAGGATGTCGATCTCAAGCAGTGGCGCGATATCATCGAGGGCGACTTCGACGACGATCAGTGGGATCTGGAGATGCAGCGGCGCTTTGGCGCCAAGTACTACGCCGAGCACGAGGGCGCCGCCGAGGACTCGGATGAGGAGATGGCGGACGCGGATGGCAAGAAGAAGAGCAGCAAAGTCAAGAAGCCGAAGTGGGAGGATGACATCGACATCAAGGACTTATTGCCCGATTTTGTTGACGACGAGGAGGCGAAGCCGGACATCACGCTCTCGGACGAAGATGACGAGGATGCGGACGGTGGCGCGCCTCTGCCGGCCGCTGCTGAAGACGTGGACGAAGATGGCGAGGAAGGGGAAGACGAGGCGCAGGCCATGACGAAGCGCGGCAAGACGAAGAAAGACCGGCTGCAAGAGAAAGCCGATGTCAAACGCGCGGCGCGGAAACAGCGCATGGCGATTGAAGAAATTGTTGATGCGTCCTTGCCCCTGCACCACGCTGCTCTGCCCACCACCACCACCACCACCGCCGCTGCCGCCAAGCCGCCCGCAGGCTTCAGGTACCGCGAGACGTCCCCGACTTCCTTCGGCATGTCCGCACGGGATATCCTGTTCGCCGACGACGCGAAGCTGAACGAGTTCGTCGGCCTCAAGAAGATGGCGGCGTGGCGGGATGACGAGAAGAAGCGGCGCGACCGGAAGAAGTTTTCGAAGAAGGCGAGGCTGCGGCAGTGGCGGAAGGAGACGTTTGGCGGAAAGGGGGAGGAGCCTGTGGGCGGGTTTGAGAGGGTTGTTGGGGGTGGGGAGGGTGGTGGGTATGCGGGTGGGTATGAGGGAGCGGAGGTTGGGGGTGGGCTGGCTGGTGGGGAGGGCGAAGGGGGCGTGAAGGAGGGGGAGCGGAAGAAGAAGAGGCGGAGTAAGAAGCGCAAGGGGGAGGATGGTGGCGCCGCGGAGGCGGTTTGAGCGGCTTCACGGGCAACTTTGTGGTCACGTCAACCATTCATCGAGAGGGAAAAACGTGTGTCCAGCTTTCTGTTTTTCTCCATGCGATTAGCGCGTAGCATCACCACGGTTTCCCGCCCGCGCAAGCCACTCGGTCCTGCGTACGTACGTACGCTCGCGACCGCGTCGTCGTCCCGAGACG